AGAGATTTGCGGACAATGAAGAAGTAATCGAAGCTGTAAATGGTTATTTTGAGGAGCTTGACGAATCAGTCTATAGAGATGGCATTAATAGACTGGAACACCGCTATGAGAAATGTATCAGCCTTGGAGGAGATTATGTTGAGAAATAAAAAAAAAAAATTTTTAAAAACCTTGTTTTTCTTGGTCAGGCCGGAAACTTATCAATCCACCCTCGTACATCGAAAATGATTACTTGCTTTTCTGATTCGTTTTTTTGAGCCTAGGTAATTAATTTTTCTGGACGCATCATCGTTCGCAGACGAACTCGAAACTGCCAAAACACCAACATTTGGATTTCTAATGCCACATTCGGGCACAAATTACATTGCAAATTTTTATCGTATTATTTCTTTGTCCGTTTCAACCCCTTATTTCGTTAACTTATGAATTAAAATTCTGTTTAAACAGACGAAGCGGTGTAAAAATATATTTTACGCTTTCCTTAATCCAGATAATCCAGAGAATGTTAAGATCCGGCGTGCTTATTCAAGATTATATGGATATCAGGTTGTACACCGTCGATGGGGTTATTTATCACGCCTTTCATCCGGTTGACCACTTCAAGCAAAAATATTACTGTGTAATGGATCACGGGTGTCCGGTATTTCTTAAAATACGTAGGAATATAATAGAAGACCCGTACGCTCAACCAAGGGCTTTGATTAAGTTCAAACATTACCCCAGAATTCCAGGCGCTAATTTTAATTTGTCCCCAAAGCCTCCTATCTGCGATCCCAAGTCACCTTCAACTTGTCTTTAGTGAAAAAGTATGCATACGTATGTAGTAGATGTTGTTATAATTAACTGATTTTAATAAAAATTTTGTAGTTGTAGAATAAGTAATTTACATCACCCATGTAAAAAATAAAATTTACAACAGTATAATTTATACTTCTTTTAAAGCTTTGACACTTTGTATGTTTCATTTAGAAAAATCACATTTCTAACGACCTTTCGTAAATTACTGTCCACATTTATCTATTCATTCATTCTTTCGTTCGTTCATGGTCCGAGAAGGATTTCTGTTTTGTTGTTTTTCTCCGAAGTCGAGTTCATAAAATATGAAACCTTCACTAATGATTTCGAAGGCGACGTTGTGGGGGTTCCTCTGCGACAAAGTTTTAAGTCGAAGGGAGAGAGACGGCGCAGCTGGTTGTGGACTTTTTTTTGTTTCACTTTATTATCTTGTCGTCCAGTAAGTATTGTTTAACACAGACGAACGTTTGCTGTTTAATAAAGCCTTTTATACAACGGAAAAAATCAAAATTATACCTAAGCAAAAGTCCCAATTTTCTACAACAGAACATCCTTCAGTCCATTTTTTTTTATTCGCAGTACCTACCTAAACTAAGTAAAATTAGAAGTGTTTTTGATATTTATTTTATATCCGCAACTTTTGTAATTTATTAGTTATGATTTACCATCATTGTCGATTAGGAATTCGCACGATATGATATGCGGCGTTTGATGGTTCCGGTTCCTGCACCGATGGGAGCAAAGTATTGTTATAGGACAGGAGTATATTTTACGTTGGATTGGCCGCTTCTTAACAAAGGTACAAACAGGTAAACCTTACCTGTAGACATGACATTGGTTCTTTTTCTAAAGCACATGGTCAGTAAAATGGCGTACCTACCTACTCTCAAACAGAGAAAACCAAAATTTTTTGTTATTAATTTAATGAAATGATTATTAAGTTTCAAACGAATTTAATTAGGTAATAAAGCGCTTCAATTGTTTCAACAGGTAACAATCAATTTCATCACCTGACGAAGTTACATTACGCCGCGAAACAATTGTAATGTTTTACTAAGGTTCTTATTAAATTGGTTTCAATTGGCTTAGACACCATATAATTTCATTACATGAGCAGTAAAATGTCTTTGTCGGTACCTATATACAAATGGAAAAAATATTTTGCCTATAGACATTCATAAAAGAAATTGAATTTTTCGTCGAGTAAATTAACTATTTTAAGAACTGCTTACACATGCATCGGCATAAATGAAGTTCAACGTTTAAAAGTGACTTGTAAAAGCATCTTTTCATGTTTTAAAATCCACATAATTATAAATATTTACTTGAACGAGTAAACAGAAGTCGCTTCTTCTTCTTCAAGTCTCACATCTTACAATTAGTGGTGCGATTCTAATCTTCGTCGTTCAATTTCAAGCTGTTTTATGAAGTTAACGTTTAACTAAACTTTTTCAATTCCTAATAGGTACCTAATTTAAAAGACAAATTGATTAAATTTTTTCTTTATCTACTAATTATGCAATTCGTCAAATTTTTCATGATTTTAAATTACTTAATACTCAATTAATATCTAAACAATAATCGATTAGGGACGGCTTGATTAATGGGATGAAAGATGATCAGCTAGTAGCTACCACATAAGTATCTAAGTGACGCAAATAAGCGGATTAAATACTTAAAATCGGTAGATAATAGGATATAAAAACTGCTGAATAGAAAATAAAGGATTTATTCTGGGACTTACCCATTGTTAATTTTTATTGGCGGTTGGGATTATTGTTAGAAGCGGCTTCCTATTTTGTTGGAAGTAAAAATAGGGAAAAACCGAGCACCCTGTACCCTCATAAATCTCAAGTACCTAGGTATTTTTCGGAATAAGTATGTGTATTACTATACTTGTGAATATTACTGTTTCGGCATTATTTAGAAAACCGATTGAAAGTTACTGAAAAATGTTGGTCGTTTTTTTTTTATTGTAGATACTTATGAATTTTGTTCGATCTATCATAAGAAGATAATATTGTTGTCGATGATAATTTGAACAGGGTTGGGAAATTCCGATTTGCAGGTAGGTGGATTGCAAACACAATTTTGCCGAATTGCTGCTGTAAACACCTTGGATTTTTACAGAGACACGTTTTAGAAACGTTGGCGTACAATAGCTTATAAAAGTGGTATTGAATCCCTTAATTGTTTGTTAGGAGGTGTCGTAGCCTTTTCTCAAAAATTGGCCTGTCGTTCTTATTTCACGTTTGCATTATTTTAATATTAACGCCGGATAACGACTAAAGTGAAGAAATAGAACCGACTTTGATAAAAACAGTTGTTAATTTTCAAAAGAGAAAAAAAGAAGAACAAGGCACTCGAGATATCATTTGTGAAGGGTGTGCGATAAGGGACATCTGCCTTTTCGTAATAACAGTGAACAAGCATCACCCCTCAAAGATCACACACTCTTCAGGGTGAATTTTCTAAAGCATCCCGTACGGTCTTCCGTTTCATTAATTTGGGGAGAAGGTGCCCGAACGTTTTCAACACATGTCTTGTATTAATCATAGCACTTTTGATGAGATGCATAACTTCAGAACGAAATAAATACATTCTTATGTTGCATTTACTTGCACGGCTTTATTTCCTCAAAAAAAAAAAAAAAACGCTTTCTTATTAAAGGGATTTCAACGATCACAACCGAAAGCACCAGTACTTTGAACGGGAGAGAGACAGATAAAATTTCTATTAAAAAATAAGGAAATAAAATAAAAAAACAACTATCAAAGCTGCTTTTAAAATAAACTTTTGGGAAGAGTCTTTACAGTAAATTTATTAGGTATATGTGCATATTTTACATTTGACGGTGAGCGATTTGTTCTAATTTTAAACTGTCTTATTTTAACCTCAATTTTCGTTTCTTCATAATACCTACACATATAAGTATAAAGAATCGAGCGGAAAAGTAGAAAATCGTTTTCAACTTCGACCATTCGTTTTCGTTGAAAGTTTCTGATAAAAAGGCGAATTACTCGACATTTCCCACAACCGATACTTCAATGATATACTGTATCTATAAAATCTTTACAAGTTCGTTAAAACGCATATTTTAAACTTGTTTATAATCTCAAAACTCGGTTTTTTGAAAAAGCTTACCCATTATTTGGGTACCTATTACCTATAATAACGTCTTGGTGCTAAGTATTATTTAAATTTTAAGGTGTTGACACCTTTTGCAGTTTTGCAGCAGATGGCAAACAAATGGGAAATTTCAGTTGTAAACTGCAGCCGCGCACAGAGATTAAAACTTTATTTCAGTTGTTATAATATTAGTGAAACGTGTCTTGAAATTGCTTTAAACAGATTACTTAATGACGGATATACCTTGTACCTACTTCTGATATCTATTAGATCGGATATTACCTCCACGAATGGCAACCAGATGTGCATTTTGAACAGAAAAATTTGTTAAATTAACAATACCACCAGATATATATATATATACCAAGACGCATGAAAGAAAGCATTGCAGAAAAATTTAGTGTTTACTAATTAGATTCTTTCGATATATAATCTAAACATATGTGATATGATAATTAATAAATACGTACACAACATATCTACTGAATAACAATTATCTTGTGTTCGACAGGTGCCGAACATAGAAATTACACATTTTTTGAGCAAAAGTGCATAATTTGATGAATTCCTAAAGGCTTTCGCGGCCAGTAGATGAACTGAGTGTGTTTCGATTCGGGTCTAAAAACCGCTGTGTGTTGCAGCTGCACATGCGGCATCGGATAAGATGGAAGGACCTTTGAAGAAGGCGCCACTCGTGCTAGCGAAACGTCAGGAAGCAACACCAACCGACGACGGCCTTTAGACCCGAATCAGAACAGCGTCAGCTCAATTTGACTAATATTTGGAATATATTTTTTATACTTCTACGAAAGCTTTCTTAAACTAAGCGAACTTTCACAATCAAAGGCTTAGTATTACATTTATTGGACTGACATTACTTTATCTTTAAACCTATCTGTAAAAAGGTGACCGAAGGTACCTATTCGTAACGAATTTCCTTATACCACGTCATATTTTTCGAGAAATGATGCCGCCCTTTGATGGATTGCATGTAAAAGAATATCCAATTCGCTACTATTATAATACGATCAGTACCTCCAAGTTGAATAAATAATTATTATAAAATCTTAAGCAAAAGCATTTCATTTATAATTTTTCTGGTTTCGTTGGTGCGTATTGTTCAGTTAACGAGGAATAATGAAAAATGAAAAGCGTGTAACGCATTTCATTGAAACAAGCATGTTCGGTCGAAAATTAAATTATTTTTAGGGAGCGGTTGTATGTGAAGAATTGCATGTAGATTTATTTTATTACTCGGGTGTCAGAGTTGGCGTTGTAAAGGGAAAACCCATTCATAAAGCAACTGACGGGTGGGTGGGACAAAGGCGACTTCGGCGGCACGCAGTGAACGATCTCAAAGAAGCTCCGTCTGCACCAGAACATAGGCAACAGCATCCGAGCAAAACGGGATAGACAAAGATAGAATTTAAGTAGGGATCGTCTCTCAAGTCCCATTGGCAGAGCAGTTATTTAAGTTGTCTTTAGATTTTGGACGAATCGTGAATTTAAAGGTTCAAGTCAAGTAGCGTCGGCTCCGTATCCCGTATCCCGTATCTTCTTAGAACAGTTTTATGTTTCCTCTCTGACATTTATTAGTCGGTCTCGAGCCGTTTCATTTTCATTTTCATTTTCTTTCTCGCCAAGTTTAGTAACGCACCTTGTAGCAGTTAGTTCTTACCTACTAGTTACCAATGTGAATATAGTGTTGTTGTTGTTGGTGCGTCTGTTGTCGACAGAAAATGTACGAAAATACAAGTCCATCGACGCCTTCGTCGTCACCTATTCTTCATCGTCTATCGCCTTCGAACCTGATGGATTTGACAAACACAAACGAGAAGTATCTTCCTGCGACTTTGCCTCACGAATTCAATCACAACACATTCGTCCAATACCATCAATACGACGACAGGCAATCGCCCCTACAACATACGTACGCGATGACGGAAGCGAACAAAATTTTTCATAACTCTTATCAGAGAAATCCCTACGAAGGTGTACGACGAACGGACACATATCATCACAGCTATTTGTTAGATAACAATAATCAACATTACTCAAACCCGCTGGAAAACTTTCAACCCAGACATATCAAAGTTGAGGTGGAAGAGGAACCGATTTTGAAGACCAGAAACGTAACCGGTCGAAAAAGGAAACCAAACGTGTCCGATTCGGATGACGAAAATTCTTGCCAGAGCAGCAGTTCAAGAACGACCAAGTCGAGAAGGAAAACGCCACAAAGTTTCGAAGACATTCAAAACCAAAGGATAATGGCCAACGTGCGGGAGCGTCAACGAACCCAAAATCTCAACGAAGCATTCGCAAGTTTGCGGAAAAGCATTCCCACATTACCATCGGACAAATTATCGAAAATTCAAACACTCAAACTGGCTGCCAGATATATCGACTTTCTTTACCATATTCTGTCCACTTCTTCGCCGGAAACGCCAACGGAGAACGACGTTATCGGAAACGTTTGCTCCTATACCGCACACGAAAGACTCAGTCGCGCCTTTAGTGTTTGGAGAATGGAAGGCGATTGGAACTCGAATTTGTGAGTGTTTCTAGACAAACGAGCTAGGCGAAACTAACTTAAACGTTCCTTTAGATATTATTAATTAAATACGTATTACCTTTCTGTACATTTTGACCATTAGTAATAGGAAGAAACGACACAAATTAGACTCACATGTAAAATTTTTGTTTTGTCAGTAGGTATCGTTACATGATAGGAAAATTTCTTGGGCTAGGTTCTCACAATTGATCGAACGAGGATCTATTATCTATCTATCCTAGTTATCTATTTAGTTTTGTTCAAAATGAAATATCTATCTTTGTAAATAGCGCTTGTTGTAGTACCGTTTTCGTTAGTTTTTTAACAATTTTGATATGAATTACGAAATCTATTAGTTTTTTCCTAAGTTCGAATTACAATTATCATTCTTTACTCAAAATCGGTTTGAAGAATTCATTAAGAAAGATGAGAATGATAATAATAGTAATAATACTCCTCTTAGTGGGGGTTTTCTTTAATGTCACAGTTGTGATGTCGGATCTATAAATATGGTAGCCAAAAGTATTTTATGCTGAAAAAAAATGTATAATTTGATATGTTAAAGTCACGGTGCAGCTGCTGGATTATTTAACTCATCAAAGGAAAAAAAAGAGACACCCGCTTGTGTGTGTATGTTTGTGTGAGTCTCTGTGAGAATGTGACATCTTGTTTGTGATTTTCTTCTACCATCTTAACTTTTATTAAATTTCATTATGACTTACGATTAGGAAACCTACGAAGTATTATTAGTTCTACCATGGCTGTCTGTAAAATTACAATAGCTAATTTAAGATTAAGTTAGTTAGTTAGTTAACAACAATTTAACGTTAAAATAGGAATAATTTTAAGTTTACGGTGTACAATTTAATAATTTGTACATCAGCACGGTTACATCCAAAGATTTGTATATAATCCAATATAGGTATAATAGCTGATACAGATATTTATTTTTTATTGTAATAAATTTATTTTGAGTTACGAATGTGTTTGGTTTTTTCATTTACAAAAATCGACGAAGTAGAAATTGTAGATTCTTTCAAACTTTTAAATTTTCATTATTCTGTTTGAAAATTCTATTGTAATCCTCATCAAAATGTTTGATTGATCGACTGAAAAATTTCAATTACGCAAAGACTGAAAAGCAGAAAATGATTTAAATAGAAAATAAAATTAGATAACATACCAGGTTCTTAAAACAGAGTAATAAAAATAAAAAAATCTTTCTATATATTGCCACATCTTATTCTGGCCTAATTCTTCTTATATTCTTTATTTTTGGTACCCCTATTTAAATATGTCCCTATATAAACTATTACCATTCCTTATCTAACTTTTTGGCCTACCATCTATCCTCTGTCTATCCTTTCTCTCCCATTTCATTCGACAAACTTCCGTCACTTCAATCCGCTATAGTAGGTACTTCCCACACGTTCTGTTTAAGATTGTACCAATTTCTTTTACTAGGCATATCTTTGGCCACCTATCATCTTCCATCCCCAACACATCCTTCAAGTATCGTAATAAAAATATCAAACTCCGGCGATACTTTCCCGTTCCCTAATTATTATCTTAAGCATCCTGCTTTGTAGTCCGTTTCAAAAACGTAGTATTAGGCATATTCATTTTGTTTTTATCCAAATCAAATAAAACATTTTGTTCTCGTTTTCTAATTTTTTATTGAACAATAGAACTTTAAAGATGTCGTCTATACAGTATTAAATAGTTTGTTAGCGATTATTACGTGGGAGTAAACAGCAAACACATTTTCTGACGCCAGAAGATGGCAAAAAAAAAGAATTTAACGGATGATTCATTCCTCTTGTCATTTTCCATGTTCCAACATCCATTACATTATGTTGTTGGATTATGCATGTTTATATTATAAAGAACAGTATGTAACGTCAAAAGCAGCAGCGGGGTGTTAAAGTAAACAAAAATAAACATTTTTCCTAACCACTGATGCTGATGCTGTGTGGGATATGGTGCTATTCGTGCACGAATGTACGTTAATGTGTGGAAAGAAACTCCTGAATCGTTATGATTACTACTACGGGAGAGCGGGACGGGACAAAGAACAAGTCCGCGGCGGTAATGTGATGAGAAAGGTTTTAAGGAAACAAACAGAAGCTCGATGTGAAACCCGATCTGGCTTTTAATTCTTAAAACAAATCTTTGCCGTCCTATAAAACACCTACAATACAAACACGTTATACGTATTGGACATTTTAAAAGCGCAAACTGCCCTGTATAATCATACTATTTGATTGTGGACTTATTCAAGGAAACTGTCGAGTCAAAAAATTAAGTACAAAATCATTTTCCCCTTAAAGCAGTTGTAGTTAAAATTGATAACTTGCTATTTTAATTTTTTAACGCGTTTTATGCTTGTTACAATTAATAAAATTATTACTCGGTTCGAGGGAAAATAATTGGAGCTATTTGGGTTGCCTACGACGTAACACTAAAAATTCGAAATTTTCTTACTGTTATAGTACTTGTTCATAAAAATAAAGAACGGAACGTGTTTGTTGTTATCATTTGTGATTATTGTTATTTAAGGTTGTAATGGTCTTGCACTGTTTGGTGAAACAAACCAATCGGAATTGATAACGATCTAGTGCTACTTCTTTCCATTTTTTCCCCTGTTTCATATAGTTTTCACCTTTCAACAGAACTAGATAGGTACTTGTAAAGTTTTTACAAGTTCTGTAAAGATTTATGTAAACGATTTTTATAAAAATTAAATGCCCTTGAAACAATCAATGCAGTAATTGTTTTATAATTAGCGAAATGATACTGTTTTGTTTGTGTATGAGTGTGTATTGGTCCACCCCACTTTCGCTATCATTCGAATGTTTTATGTTCCACCTGTACGGCATACTCGAGTATTATTGTATAATTCATAACATAAATTCGCAACGGTTGATTATTGTAATAGTTATCCACGGTAATAAACTAATCGCAATAAGAATGTACCAGAAGCCTATATATCTACATATTATTTTGTATTTACATGTGTTGCGTATTTTAAATGTAGTATCATTTTCCCCACCCGTTGGCTCTATTTCCATCTCGACGTGCCTTTCTTATTTTATCTTTTCGAGCTGTATCGCGATCGCGTTTTTTGTCACATGTTGGTGCCGAGAATGAAGCCGAGTTTGAACGTTTTATAGAAAATAATAAATACCAACAACCACACACCAACTACATAACTAATGTTGTTGTGCGAACTGAATGATTTTTAATAAACAGAGAAATGTTCGGTGTTGTTGTTTGAGTGTAGCTTTCGGTTTTAGTTTTTTTGTTTTTCGTGTCGTGTTGTTTCCCATTGTGCCAAATGTAGACAAATTTTTGGGTAAAACTGTCGGTCGTTATCAAATCCATGTAATAAATGTTGTCTCTTTGTTCTTTTACGTCCATCAACACACGATATAAGGTGAGTGTGTTTGTTGAGAATGCCTTCAAGTAAAAGTTGTGCGCTCAAGCCTTCGTGCGATTGTAAAAACGATCATCCAATCGACCGATTCAAAACACGGTTCTGCTACTAGGTATTTAGTTTATAAATATTTATCGTACAATAATTGACTTTTGTGCAATCTCGCCCTTAATAAGTGGTGAATGTGACGAACGAGTTTTACACGAACGATCGTTACAAAAATACTATACTAAGCCTTCTGAAAAAAATTCTGATCACACCCGCATCTATTTTAAAAACAAGCCAAGTGATGAAAATACAATCGTACGAAAGCATATACGTGTTATACAAAATATTCCGTTAGTGCTGATAAAATTATCTGTAGGATTTGCCGATGTGAAAGTATTTCGCTAGATAATCGTGCGGATAATTTTAGATAGCGTGATAAACTTCAAGATTGCGATATCTGTGTAGGCATTGTACACATACAAACGTTTTATTATGACATAATCCAATACCACAAAACTATTACTAGTGCCTACAAAAGTAGCTATCTAATTGTTTTATTAATCAATCTGGAAATCCAAATTTTCTAGATAGAAACGTTTCACAATTTTTCAAAACCCTCATGGGTGTCGTCGGTTTACAGTTACTATGATTACTGTTTTTTCTTGCATTTTAAAGGTAATTTTTATCAGGTGACGACATGACCAGCGATGAAAAATTATCAGAAGAAGTAGTCTCCGTTAACCGAGATGTTTCGTCCTTAGAAGCGATTAAGGATACGTGCCAGAAATCCGCAACCTGTAATGTAGCCGAAATAGTAAACGAAGAAGGTATCGAAGAAAAACCTGATCAAGATTTTTCTAAACTATCCGAGTCGGAGCAAATAGCTAATGACATTTTGCAATCAATAATAGCTTCGACGTTCTGGTCACTCGAAACACATTCTTCTACCGACAATTTCAGTTTCGAAGAAAAGTGTTCTTATATCGATGACAGTGGAATTGATATGACCGATAACTATCCGATACCCACGGAGTGCCGAGAGCCGAAAAATTTCTGTGCGGAGGAAAAAAGTGAGAGTGCGTTGAAAAAAATGATGCCGTATACTGTATTTACCGATAACAATATCAACAATATGTACGGTGAAGTTAAATTTCGTAGGAGAAGTAATTCATGTCAAGAAAGAACGAGCGACGACTTTAAAAATGTTAATAGAAAAACCAGTATCGTTGGGGATGATTTTGAACAATTTTCAAATCGAAAATCTACGTCTTCTGATTCTATCGGGAATAGTAACAGAGGGTCTTTATATTCGGTGGAAGAATACGACGAAGAAGAAAACGAGGAATATATTATTAATAATAATAATAATCGTCACCGAGACCCGAACAAGATCAGTCCGATTTCAGCGGTGAACACCGTACTTGTCAATAACAGCACCGCAACAGTCGAGAAAGAAAAGCAAAAAGAAAACAAAGCTAGAAAGAAATCGATATTCTCCAACATATTTAGCAACAAGAAAAGCAACAAAGTTTCAAAGAAGAGCACCACTCTCGATTCTCCCTTTTCGTCATATCAGTCGGAGAAGCCGTTCAAAATCTCATTGATAAACGCCAAAAAGTACCGCTCGGCAGTGGACATTCGGGAACCACAACAATCATTAACTAAAAGGATTTCGAAGCTCCTGTACAAAGACGGGTCCAATCTTATTAGGAGATCGTTCAGTTTTAGAGATCTTCAGCGAAAGAAAGAGAAGGATATTACTCGAGAAAAATTGGCCGAAATGAAAAATATGGAATGGGCGGCTTCGTTGCAGTCCCTCGTCGAGAGCGACATCGGAATTAGTTACGACGATTTGAGTTTTGTGAATTACGACGTTCAAAATAGTTTATTGGCCGAAAAAATCGAACCATTACGTCCTCACAGAGCTATATTACGAACCCAGAGCATGTACGAAAACGTAAGCAATTTTATTTTAGCGATTACTTTCAAATCGTACTAATACATATTCGTTTTGTTTTTCCATTAGGGGTATGAAAAAAGTCGAAATTGTAATGAAACAAGGGACTCGTCCTCATCCGTCCCTCAGCATTCCCAATCAGCAGTAGGTAAGAAATTTAATTGGTGTCGTATGTAGGTATACAAACATATTGGGTAGTATACAAACTGTCTAAATGTCTGCTCTAACACATAAACTTAGAATCATAAGGTTACGGTAGGAGAAGACAACACTCACAAAGTGATTTCATTAAAGGAGATACATGGCAAGGACAACACTCGTTTAGTGTCTCCTCCAACTGCAACGTTTTAATCATTAACATACCCGTCCGTCAAACCAGACATTTGGACAGTTTGTATGCTATGCACTATCCAGCCAAATTACAAACTAGCCAAGTAGAAGGTATTTCTTTTTAATGTATTTTAGCAGGTTTCGTAAAATAAGCAATTAGAAAAGGAAGAGTGTGACAAAAATTAACATAACAGTGTGCAACATTCCCAATTAAATACTGCAAATTTTAGTAGTATGTTATTTGTTTTTCAAATCGAATCGCCATGTATGTCTATTGCTTACAGACTGCGGTATTTTTAATTTGTAAATTCCAATTTGTCGTCCATTTTATTTACTTATTAAAAAATTGGATTACTTGCGCTCAAGTGGTAATGTAAATCGGAATGTTCGCAGCAACGAGCTCATCGTCATTATGCACTCCAGCAACTTGAGCCGTTGCAGTAAAAACATCAGCGTTATTGAATTTCTCAAGTTTCATTTTTAAAATTTTCTCGTTGGCTGACGTACCGTCTAACCCATAGGTGTATAAAAATAATTTTCTAATTAGTGGAAGCTGTAACATTTTTTTTCGATGTTTCGCCGATTAACATTTCAAACATTCAACACCCTAAATACCTTTACAAATAAATTTGTGTACGTATACATGCACCAGTAATTAATGATATTGATTTTTCGGCAGAAATACAAACCCCTGTTTATAACTTGTAAACAGGTAAAGTTTGCATTGGATATTAATTAAACCACGCAAACCTTTAATTAAATCCTTGTTAAATACCGCGCCATGCTGTTTCAGCAAATTTCCGAAATAAAACAACAACATTTTAAAAACAAAAATTTGGCCTCGTGTATTTTCGTAGTAGCACCGTATTTTTATTTCAATAAAATAAAAAGCGCTTGAAAATTTCTGTATAATGTACGGCTTCTTCATAACTTTTACAGTAAACTTTATCAAACTTAAATCGCTGTAGATACGTAACCCAGAATTTCACAAAAAAAAGTTTATTATTAGTAGGCACCTAAACCTGATAGGTACTTGTCTAAAGGTGATAACCTTGGCTGGTAAAAACGCCTAAAATCTGGGTTTTATGGGTTTGTTAAGTCCAAAGTTATACAGAACTATTACATACATTTGATTTTGTTGTGTTAAAGTTGATTAAAAAAAAA